CTAGTTGAACTTCCATATTTCTTAAAGTGGTGGCTTGGCTTTGTATTAATGCATCGTTCTTGGCCATATAATCTCTCATCATGGCTTCTATGGAGTTTGAGGGGTTAGCTGGTCTTGCTCCTTGCGGTTGGCTAAGCATCAGTAGTCCTGGTTGATGCATTGTTTTCTGTTGGTACTGGTCGGTGTTCTGATTCCCATGACCACCATGATTTCCTCCCCAGCTAAAATTTGGGTGTTGTCTCCATCCTGGGTTATAGGTATTCGAGTAAGGGTTGTTCCTGCCAAGATTTCCCAGATAATATACTGATGCAGGGTTTCTAGGGCAAGAATCATAAGTATGATCACCTTCACAGTAGGACATGAGACTACCATTGCCTTGCTTGATCCTGGGTTAGTGGACGATGTTGTAGCAACACTCATGTTCTTTACCATGTTGGTTAGGTTTGCTATTTGATCTTTCAGAGAAGTCATCTCCGTGCTGCTAGTAGCCCCATAGTTTCCCTTGTCATTTATGGCTTTGGAATCTGACCAATGGTAGTTATTAGAGGAGAGTCTCTCCAATATGTCCACTGCTTCAGTATATGATTTAGATAGCAGTGCTCCATTTGCAGATGCATCTACAACCATTCTGGTCGCTTCATTCAACCCATTGTAGAATGTTGCTATTTGAATACATTTTGGTAGGCCATGGTGTGGACATCGTCTAAGTAGCTCTTTAAACCATTCCCATGACTCGTTCACAGATTCTTCACCTCTTTGTTGGAAGTTATTGATATCTCCCCTGAATTTAGCGTTCTTACTTGGAGGGAAGTACTTTATCAGGAATTTCTCAGCGAGGTCGTTCCAAGAGGTAATGGATTCTGCTGGCATAGAGTTTAACCAGTCTCTTGCCTTGTCCCTCAACGAATACGGGAACAATTTCAGTCTTAACGCTTCCTTTGATACTCCTTGCATTTAAAGGAATCACTCACTTCAAGAAAGTATCTGAGATGAAGATGTGGGTCTTCATATGGATTCCCATAAAACTGTCCCACTGTTTGCAGCAGTTGAAACATTACAGGTTTCAATTCAAATCGCTCAGCTTCTATCTCTGGCCCTGCTATGACTGGGTGAAAACCGTGAAGTGCTGGCGCGGCATACGCCCTAATAGCTCTATCTCCATCGTCTACCAACAGAATGGCATTTAGAGGGGGCACGGTTGCTGGTTCAGCATTTACCTCTATCTCCACGACTGGATTGGGGAGCCTCGGTGGTTGATCCATGGGCTTGCAATCGACGCTGTTCTTTCATTGGTGGAATGTGCATTCAATTTCGTTGTCAAGCAAATACTCCATCCCTTGCAAATCGTTCATTCACCTTCAAAGTTCACCAATACAGTAGTCAAAGATCTAGAGTAAGATTTCGTTAAGCAAAATACAGAGTGTAAGGCAGTTTAGTCCCCGACAACGGCACCAAAAACTTGTTGTTCACTAATTGTGCTACCAATTCTTCTATGTGCAAGTGTACACAATCGTCGCAGCAAGTAATAAAAAGTT